AACTTTAACATAGCCACTAACTTCAAACCTCACTCAACCCTCAGACAAAGACTGGTACACCCTAAGGACTTGAACTTGAGTCCACGGATATCTTAGACCGCGAAACACGCTGGTGGGAACGGGGTGTTAAAGAGGCAATATATGAAAGAATGTACAACCCCACCCTCAACAGGAAAGGTGGGCTACGGGTGGATCTTTCCAGCACTTGATTTGGCACTCCCAGCCCCGAGGACAGACAACACTTTTAATGACTAATTTGCATTGCATTGTCTTGTCTTGTCTGACTTTTGCTCCTTTTTCGACTTCCAAAAATTTGTCTTCACTTTATTTGCATATCAATCAATAGTTTGTGCTTATAAACCTAGCATATCCCCTCTGGTCTCTAAGTCACTGACGAAAGCTAGTGGATACTAGCTGAAACGTCTGACGTTTTCAAAATCATATCCAGTTGCTTGAGTAACTGCTTTCTGGCGTATATCTTAGCAACACAATGGCTAGGCTTTGCGTTATCCCAAACCTGTACGACCTGTATACTATGTCTATGCTATTATATAAAAGCACAAAAAGACAACATTTTAATGCTATTGACAAAACACAAGCGGTCAAAATTTGTTGGTTACTTCGCAGTGCCGATCCGGTCTACAAAGGCCTACAGAAGGATGTGCCGGTCCGAGTGAGCAGCGATGGTCTGGTGGAATGGAGTGTAGAAACCCTGACCACCACCGTATGTGATGCAGACCCCTTCTTCTTTCCTGCAGACACCATGGAATGCGACATCTGCTTTTCTGCAAGCACAGCAATTGCACAAACTATCCGTAAGGCTTCTACAATAATTTTTAACTTATTTTTTATGTCCGTTTTTTTTAAGATGTCGATACATGATGTTATGTTTGACAATGTTTTATAGAAGGAGGATGAACTCATAACTAGAATTTGGCATTCGTGGATAAGAAAACAAAATCTTACAAAATCTTATGCATTTTACATTTCTGATACCTATTGAACAAATGTTTAAATATGTTTAACATAGGATGCGAAGTGGAATGGCCTGCAGTCGACATGGGAATCACTCCGTGCAACTCTTACTCTACTACAACACCGGAGGGTGAATGGTACCGAAAGGATAAGATCTTCGCGAAAGAAAACAGTGAAGCGTGCCTCACTATTCATCTATCGAGAATCCCGCTGTTCCACATCGCAACTACTGTAGGACCCTGCATCATCCTGGTGGTACTGATGAACATCACATTCATCATGCCCTTAGACCAGGGGGCCGACCGGGATCGCGTTTGGAGTGACCATTCTACTCTCCATGGTCGTGTCTCTCGTGTTTGTGACAGACGTACTTCCTGTCAAGGGGGCACTGCCTCTTTTCGGTGTGTACAAATTAGATACACCCTAACAGTATTGTTTTCAAAACAATTTGTTCAAGACAGTGGCTACTTTGATGTGACTCATCAAGCATTCTGTTAACTGTTTACCATCTCTAATGTTACAGCTACGCTGGTCATCTTGTGGATGGGGCTGATGGGATTATTCCTGTTCTTCACTCTGGTCATCATCGTCATTCACGACCGGGAGGGCAGCCTGTCTCCGCGGGCGAAGATTATTTTCCTCCGCTACATTTCGAAGTACCTACTTTTTTTTCTCAGTATATCTTATCGATATCTGAAAGAACCTTATCATTAAACTCTGCACATAACCATCAATGAACAATCAGGCATTTATGTTGAAAGTATTGAATATCATTTTATCATTTAATAAACGATTATTTTCTGTTATTTAGGATGCTGCTGCTGGGAGATCTAACAAAGGAGAAGCGTACAGGTGACGGAGAGGCTGGTTTGCCTCACCAGTCTGACATAGAGATGACCAACTACGCCTTTCAAACCGATGATATGGCGGCGGTCGACGAAGGAAGAAGGTGCGGTTTTGGTTATAAGTGAAAACTTTATTGACACAACATATTAAGTACAGTGACTTTCGTAATTTCTATAACTAGACATAGAGACATGTGGGTACAAAATAATTAACCTACGTACTTGTGCAGCTAAATCAGCTAATAACTCTTTCTTGTAAGGTTCTAAGGTCTAAACATACTCTAATATAGTTACCTATCTGTACACAGTAAGGGTTACTGCCTTCTAAAATGAAGTTGAATTTATCTTTTTATCCTGAATGTAACAAATTCCGTTAGATATTCTCAACGCCACCATATGTATATGTTAACACCACAAACTATGTATGTATCATTTTGCCATACGTTGTACCTGCTACATCTGTTGCGCAATAAAGTTCTTCTTCCATAATAAAACGCCCTTTATCTTCCAGGAGCACCGGGCAGCCATCAACGCCTCCCACAGCTACAGGGCTGGAGACCACCGGTTCTTCCGGTCTACCTGAGCTGATCTCGTGTGTGAAGGAGATGACCAAGGCGGTTAATAACCAAACAAAGGAGCTGGGAGAGCTGGCCAAAGCCATGAAGAACGAGGAGGAGGTGTCTGACTACACCCTGCTGGCTAAGGTCCTGGACAGGCTCTGTCTTGTCATGTACATCATCAGCATCGTGATTACCATTCCTATGACCATGTATTTGAGCAAGTAAAGACCTGTCAGAAAAATTGATGAAATGAAAGAGTTGTGTAACCAAACCGAAACACCTGGTTTATATGCAAGATATCACGTAACGTAGAGTGTAAAAGATGGTCTACCGCTTACGAAATTTGATCCGTTTTGGGTGAAAAGTCTTTCCAACATTTTACTCAGACACAATGTTGTTCATATACTTGTTAAGGTCGTGTTAATTTGATTATATGGATGGGATTATCTGAGAACCGCTACACTGATGCGAGCGTGCGATCAGAAAGTTTGGCAAAAAAAAAATTAAATCTATGTGGTCATGAAGGTAGAACAAATGACTAAGCACACAGAGTATGGTAAGGCGAAAATGGACTATTCATTTTCATTTCTTCACATTTTCTTCTTTTCTTTTGGGATTGGCATTCTATGAAATAAGTATCATTTTCTAATATTTCAATATTGTAATTTATCGGAAATATTTGCTCATTCAGCTGCGTGTACGATATATAGTATGGTTGAAAGAATTTTTTGTAAACGGACGAAAAGTCATGCGCGTGCGTATGTCATCCATATAATCAAATCAACATGGCCTAATGGATATTTAAAATGTTTTGTGACGTTACTTGATCACTTTAAGATCTTTTTTGAGCCTGTATGTAAATCTACGCATTATTATTCATTTCAACCAAACGGACCTGACTTTATGGATGAGAGCCTCTGGACACAAAAACTAGGCACACCATAATTATATAAAAACTGCATAGATTTTGAAACTTCAAGCGACAATATACCTTCTGCACATGTCCTTTTAGGATGTTACTTGCCATATTTCAAAAGGCGGTGCGACAAACTTCTACGCTCTTTCCGGGAGTACTTTCTTCTTTTTCAGAAGACTGTATAACACACTAACTTCCACATTTCCTCTTTCAGGAGGACTTTCAGAAGACAGTGTAACAAAATTCCGTCTCGTTCTATTAGAAGTTGGGCTATTATATTTCTCAAAATTTCTCAAACTAACTCCTATACTAAGTCTCCCTTATGACGTAGATTGTTCTCTTTCAGAAGTCTGTGTGACAAGCTAACTTCTAAAGTTGTTATCTTAGGTTCTAAAATGTGTAATAAACTTCTACACAATAGTCATGTAAATCGATACACACACATTGCGGAAGAAGTATGAATAAACTATCTGCAAAGCCATTTACTTAAAATTTGAACACTAGATCGAAAAAATGCATTTCAAGATTCTAGTCATGGTGTCAATTTAATAGAGGCACTTTTTCCCAGTAGCAAACAAATCAGACACAACTCGGTAGATTACATGGCAAGTTGCTGGAAACTTGTAGCGGGTCAAATTTTTCATTTTTGGTGTGAATGCTGGAAATCAATGCTCACGTGGAGGTCATCCATAAAATCAGATCAACTATGTTATGATGTCATAAAAAAGTGTGTGCAATTATTATTATTATATCATGATAACATGTTATTTGTCATTCAATACGTATTACAACAGCACTGTTTATCATAAGCATTCATATTTAATCAAGATACACAAAAAAATAACACAGACAATATTTCTATGTAAGATTTTGTACGATTTTAGTACAAATTAGCGATTAAATTTTACTATTAGAATATCTAATATTCGCAATTCATACCAACATTCTAATTTTGTTTACCTTGCCTTAAGATGTATATATTCAAACTAATATCTCATAACTAATATATTCAAACACTTGTAATTGGAGCTAAACAAATTGTGATATATATACGAAAATTACAACAATCTAGAACTTTTCGTTATAAACCACTTCAGACATGCATAAACCCTATTCAGACGGGGGGGGGCGTTTGAGGTTTCTGACAGGCAAATTGTTGAAAAATGAGGCTTTTTCTTGAAAAAAATAGCAATTTTCAAAATTCAAGATTTCCGATCCAAGATGGCCGACAGCTTAATTATGCATGGCTATGACGTCATTATATGACGTCATTTTGACCCCAGGGGCAGCTTTTGACACTTTTTGTTTGTTTGGTTGTATTCCTTTGAGTTTTACGGAAAAACCATTTTTGACGGTTTTACCCCCCAAAAACCATATAATTGACGTCATAATGACGTCATATACCATCATAATTACACAAAAATGCTTCTTATGGACTAATTTAATTGCTACACCATTCTCTGAAAATTTGGTGGCCCTACGATAAGTGGTTGTTGAGTTACGGGGGGCGGGCCTCAAAAGCCCCCCCCCGTCTGAGCATGCCCAAAAAATGCCCGGTCTGAATAGGGTTAAATAGTGCATTTTAAAACTTTATGGAGTTTACAATACGAAATGGACAATCACATGTATGTGTGCGATTATTACACATCATGATAACATGTTATTTCGTTTTCAATACATATTACATCAGTGCTATTAATCAACAAAAACAGAAATGCATTAATATTTAGTCGAGGTACGATTAAAATGGCACAGCCTTTTTTGCAGAATTATTTCCAATGTCAGTACAATTTATTAATATTGACGACTACAATATGTTATATTTGCATATCTTCTACTTAGTCAAACCTGTCTTTAACCAATGGATATTCAAAGATTGCAGCTATACCTATGCAAATTGTATTGTTATACATATACACATTTCATTTATCTGGACAATCATATGGGTAAAATAATGCTTAGTCCACTAAAAAAATTTACTGTTCCAAAGTATGGTCGAATATAGACTATTTAGGTAATGCTTTAAGTGTTTGAGACGAGTTGGTACATATAAAAAGGCGCATAGGAAGAGAGGTTTGATAGTTTCCATCAGATAAGTTTGTGTCTAATTTTGTGATCACTCTTTTACCATTAATATCAATGATAAACGGATCAATGTGCATGTGTAAAACATTTGTATTAAATCTTTTAAAAATGCCGTGCGTTTCATATTATTGTGTTATATCCTTCAATGTTATTTCTGGAAAAAATCCTATTCATTGGCGACATTGCTATCGCAACTGGTTGTCACCATCGTCAGCTAAATGTCCCAGCCTCTACTTCTGTCTTAAATTACCGTGGACATCCTAGGATTAACACTTTTGCCGACATTATCATATTCAAGTTTTAAAACCACAATTAATAACGAGGTTTTTAAAGTCAGCTGTGGTATATGATAATGTGTTTTTGTTACTGCCAACCGTTAGTCAATAGCGAGAAGTACATTGTAGTTCTGTTGTCGCCATAAGACGGTTTGCAATACACATGGAGACATGAACATATCCAAATGCAGCAAAAGCAGTAATGACTAGAGCTTAGCATTTACACTGTAAATCAGACAGTTTTGCTCTTTTATTTATTAATATTCTCCGTAGAAGACAACGCTTAGCCTCATCAGCTCCAACAACGGCCAAATTGCAAACTTCACCCTCGGTCACTTCATTATAGGCAGAAGTGTACCGTTTACCTTATAGAATCTTCTTGACTCCAATTGATTGTGTTTTAGTACATTGTTTTTGAGTCATGTCGCGAACATCATTGCGACTTTAAGCCCTTCTTGCGAATGGAACCACAGATGTTTCACGACCTCCTACAACGTGTAGGCCCATCCATCGAGAAAAGTCCAGAGCAAGTGTTTTTTTTGATGAATGCCCTCTACTTCTTGACACGTTTCAATGTAACCATAATGACTTATAATAACAGCAAATTTAGATATAACAGTCCAGTCTGTATGTTACACATCTGTTTTATTCTATGCAGTGCCAGACAGCCCTTGCCAGCAGGCCTAAAACTCGCCATTACCCTACGTTTCCCGGGAACAGCTACCGATCCTTGGAGTTTGCCTTCAGGGTATACCGGTACCCGTAGCCCACATGCAACACAATGTCACTGTTCATTCCTGAAGTACATGTATGCCGGGCTATCGTCTCGGATGTTTTCCATGCCCATCGGCATTCTGACACACAAGTATACGGAGTAACACACACAAGTACACGGTGTAACACACACGTGGTGAACTGTGCGACGTAGTCCGAACAAGGAGTTTACATATGCCCCATATAACCCCATTTTCCTTACCACCTTATGCACTGATCAGCACAAGTGACGTCATAATCTTAGGCAGGTGCCTGTTCGGCCGCCCGACGGGCTCCGGGCAGTGAGGTTACGGCGTCGCTTCGGCGTATCTTGCCGAACAGGGCCCGAAGTGATTTTAAGTTTGAGTTAAAATCAATTCGGCTACCGCTCGGGGCCAAAAGTAGGTCGGCAGCCGTCGGGAAGCCCGTCGGTCTCCGTCCAGGTCCCGTTCGGTAGTGCCAAAAAAAACGGGCCGAGCGGGCCCCTTTCTTCAATTGTGACCTAGGCTTTAGTGCTTGCTGTTAGGCACTTTGTTTTTATAGCAAAACCATCGAACTTTTAGATTTTTAGAAATAAAAGGAAAGTCTTTAACCCGACATTCAGATCTATTCAGACCTTGGGTAAACAGTTTCCCGAAGACGTCATCTATATGACTCGCGGAATCCCCCTTCCCGGCCAGACGCCCCCGCGCGGTACAAAAGGTGAGGTCACACCTTGGGACTTCCTCTTCCACAGGTGAGTGGCGAAGGGGGACCGTTAGTCTTACGTCCAGTCTGAAGGTAAAACTGATGTTTTCCCGGACATAAGCACTGTTCTCTACTCTTAGCGGTGACGAGGATAACACGGTATTGACAAAACAGGTAAGTACGGCTGTCCGTATGTTCAAACCCTATTAGCAAGACCTTAATTAACTTTACTATTGAAAAAAGTTAACCAAATAGCGGCTTTGCACGGTCTTAACTTCACGTGACGTTTCTAGTAATTTTTAAATTACTACTCAACTAGAAACATCAGTTTATGGTGGCAAATAATTGATGAAACTGGGTGTTTCTTTTAAAAGAGGAAAAGTTTAGTTGAGGAGTTGTAGGTCGGGTACAAAGCGAGCAGGTTTTCCGTCCGTTTTGTTGACAGGATTCATCAAACGGCACGGACTTGCAGAATTTATGTCCTGATGGTACGCTTCATTCGAAAAAGACAAAGTTAGAAGAAATTATTGCACAGTCTCTGGTCTGAAACAATTACAAAAGTTCGCTGGCCAGGGGAATTTCGCGACGGATCGGAAAGTCCCCAAGTATTTGCT